AATCCACCCGAGGCCCCGAGACCTCAACCAAACCTACCAACCAATCCCAAAACACGTTACGGACTTGCTCGAGGCCTCAAATCACATCAAACAACGCTAAAACCACGAATCGACCTCCAATCCAAGCTTTATGAACTTTAGAATTTCCAACATCTATTCCTGATGCTTAAACCTGTCAAATCACGTCCGAATGACCTCAAATTTTGCACACAAGTCTTATTTGACATTACGGACCTATTCCAACTTCCGGAATCGGATTCCGACCCCGATATCAAAAAGTCAACTTCCGGCCAACCTCTCAAAATCCTCCAAATTCTATCTTTAGCCAAATGGCTCCAAAATGACCTACGGACCTTCGAATTCCCTTCCGATCGCGCCCCCAACTCCAGAATCACCATACGGAGCTATTACCAGACTCGGAATCCCAAACGGACATCGATATCACTGAAATGAACTTCCACCCAAACTTATGAAATTTCTTCCAAAATGCTAACTTCCACAATAGGCGCCAAAAAGCTCCCGGGTTATCTGAAACCCGAACCGGGAATACGCCCGTCTGAAATCATCATACGAACCTGCTGGAACCTTCAGATCCTGATTCCGAGGTCGTTTACTCAAGATTCCCATCCTAGTTCATTCTTTCAACTTTAAGCTTCCGAAATGAGAATCCTCTTTCCAAATCAACCCTGAACTTCCCGAAATTCAATTCCGACCACGCGTACATGTCATGATACCCAAAATGAAGCTGTTCATGGCCTCCGACTGCTGAACGGAGTGCTAGGACTCAAAACGACCGGTCGGGTTGTTACATTCTCTCCCACTTAAACATAGGTTCGTCCTCGAACGTGCTGAGAACTACGCTGGAGTAGTCTGAAATCGCTGTTTAACTTCTCATGCACCTTCCCGTGCTACCACAACTCAGTTGAGCACATTAGCTCGATCAATTCTGAAGATATTCTCTTTTATTCAATAGATACGCCTTAGAGCCCAATTCCACCATCCGGAATTCTATGCCCAACCTGTTTCCATCATGCGATCACCATATCAATCACCACACGATGTACCCAACCATGACTGCATAACTTTGCTGAATTCAGACATTGCATCACTTTACTCACTGGACCTCAATAACATTTTCTGATCAACTTAGTCAAAATCCTACTTAATCCGATGCTCCCATTGCACCTCATGACATACACAGGTCTTACTCTAACCCTTACAATACCGCCACAATAGAAGAGATGTGCGGAAATTCATAATCAATTGTCGAGTCAACCAATCATTGAGTCTATACTTCAGACAATAAGCATTACCATATTCTGACCCAAATAATGACATTTACTCCTTAATATATTCCATACAGTCAGATTACACTGATCCTGAATCCAATGATCTCATCTCACCCAGTACGAACTGCTCAGGCAATAAGCCACCCCGGACATAATCAAGTCACATATGATGTCGCAATGTGCCAATAGGCTACCAATTCGAACACGATACAATAAAAACGAACTCTGGAAAGGAAATCCAATTACCCCGCTCGCGAATCATACATGCGACGCGGGCAACATACTACACTGACACCCCGCTCGCGAATTATACATGCGACGCGGGCCCACGGCTAAGCACGTAAAACTGATATAGGTAACTGTGCTCAACATCACATTGTTGCGGTGTACCACCCGATTCAAATATCATAGACCTTGCATAAGGAGATTGCACACCGAGCAAAATTTGCTCATTACAACCATAATACAGAATATCGGTCATAAGCATGCTAAGTGCCTAATACCATCCCTGAGGGAACATATAGCGTCATAAGCTACAAAACTCAAGCACGACTGAGGTGCGATATACAATCTGAATCTCAAGAGCCATCTTGCTCATAATACAACATTTCTACACGGATCCTCAACACATAAGCAATTTCTCGAGCCGTCTCACAATTCGCACGGCGCAACGCATCACTTCATGAAATATCTGCCAATGAAATAACACCCTGACTACTCCTACACTATGTTTTAAAAGGCAGAATTGGGACTCGCCCGGGGCTCGCCCCGGGGTGGGGCACTCGTAAAACGCCCCTGGACTTATGTGTGGGGCTTAGTTCCGTGAGACCTACGGCCACTAGGGCTTACGCCCCGGACACGCCCAACGCCCAGCGTACTGGGCTCGCCTAATAGAATATTATGCAATTCTATGTAACTAACCTTGTAAATTCTCAATTTTGCTTAATAAATCGTTGACTATTCAAAATTACTTTTTTCTTAATCATAAATCATTAAATTGAGAGTATTTTATGTCATAATTAAAATAAAAATTATTGCACGTTATGCACTAAGACTGTTATGACAGTTAATTTTAAATAAATCTTTCATTTAAAAGGTATTTATTTATTAACTTTTGTTATGTCTTTACTATATAATAGTCCATAATTTTTTATAATTATTTTTCTAAATATTTTTTTTCACGTTTACGAGATACAATACTTATTAATTTAATAGCTCAGTATTAGCTAGTAACTATTTAAAAATAATTAGTTATCATGGTATTGTATGGTAAATTACGTGTCACTTTATTTACTTGTTGAAACTTAAAAATAAATGATGCTAGAGAATCATATTTAAATTTTGAATTATGTTTTTATACAAATTCTCTTTCAAATAGAAAGCATATTAAATAAAAGGAGTATTTTACGAAAAATATCAAATTATAATATCGAAATTCTTTCATGATTCATTACTCCTTAAGAGATACATATAAGATTTTGTATCGAATACATTACTTTTTATGTTTGAGTTGTAATGACGTTGCAGCTAATTTGCATATTATGATATATGTCATACTTTTCGTACTATTCATAGTTGAATTATAANTAGTATAAAATTACAAGTTATAAAAGTAAAGGTAACCGAAAGGGAAGTTACTTTGTAAAAAGAAGACATGTTTCAATTCAAACATATATTTCTGGTTCTTTAATATTACTATCTTGATAATTAATTGGTATAACTGAGAGGAGTACTGTTAATTGTTCAATTTAAGTAATAATATATAAGTGTAATCGAGAGAGGCATTTATGCATTATTTGAGAAATAGAGACTGAAAAACAAATATATGCTTTTTAATAGAATTATCAAGTGAAATCAGGATCCCAACATCTTTATAATATTTGTTAAAACCAAAAATACTTTTCTCTACAGTTTGTTTGTTCATTATTTGCTTGTTAACCCTCAACTCAACTTTTCCGATTCTCTCAAATAGTAATTAAAACAAGAACAATTTGTAGAATAGATAAACCAATCTCTGTGGGATTGCAGATCCCCTCTGCTGAGCCTTTTCTTATCTCCTCTGCAGCAAGCTCTGCTGGCCTCGCGCTCCAAACTGATGGCGTCTCATCTTTCTATACTATAATTTGACAGAGTACCGAGTTTAAATTCATATACGCTAGACCCTCGTCAAATACAGAGGCAGCTAGGCAGGGAAATGGGTCTCTAGGGTTTGGGTTATGCGATATAAAGGAAAGTGGGGTTTTATTATGGGTCCTTGATCATCTGAGATCAACGGCCAGGATCAAAGGAAGATGGAGCGGGTTAGGAGAATGGGTCCCGACCGGGTTATAAGATTAGAGGGGATTGGACTTGGGTTGGGGCGGATTGGGCTAAGGTTTGGGGTGTCTGGGCCATTAATTTTGGTCCTAAATTAGCCTTGAATTGGGCTATAAATTAAATACACGAAAATGGTTAATAAAATAATTTATAAAAAATATTTAATGGATAATAAAATATCACTTGTGCAACAAAGTGATTGAAAATAATAACTTAATATTGCAAAAATATAAAAAGTTCTATTTGGCAAAAGGTAATATGAAAAATATAATTATGCATAGCACATAGGTTATTATTGCAAAATTGTGTTAATAGCCTAAAAATACTAATATAATTATATAAAAAAGAGGTAAAATATTATGAAACCTATATGTGGATACAAATAATAAATTTTTATAAGATTAAGTCATTTCAAAATAATTTGAAGAATAATTAATAGATAATCAAGTAATAAAAAAAATGCAATAAAAAATTGATTTTAAAACTCTAAAAATTACGGAAAATTATGAAAATACTTGTATAAATCTTGTAAATCAAATAATAATGCAAAAAATGATATTTTGAAAATATATATACTATTTGGAAAAATATGAGGATAAAATTGGGTATTAAAAAAAAATTTCCTCAACATATGTTTCTTTTAAAAAAATAAAGTGATGGAATAGAGTCAAACGACCCCCAAGTAGTAGTAACAATCATTGTGAAAAGAAATTACTAGTTGTAAGGGTGCGTTTGGTATGAAGGAAAATATTTTCCATGAAAAATATTTTCATAGATTGAGTGGTTTTATCACTTATTTTTCCTTGTTTGGTTGGTGAGTGAAAACTTTTTTTCGAAAAATATTTTTAGTATTTGGTTAGAGAGTAGAAAATATTTTTTTTATGCTACTCTCCTCACCCCTCCCCCTCTTCCCCCAAGATTGTATATTTCCTGTGCCTTCCCCCCCCCCCCCCCCCAAATACCCCATATTTTTATGACTCTATTGTCTTTCAAGAATTTAATTATTCTTCTAAAAATTCACATAAACCCAAAGGAACTAATGCGCTGCTTTATTTTTTACGCAAAAATAACATTAAAATTTTTGCTCCATAACTTAAAAAATATTCTTTTTTTCTTGGTTGAAAAAGAAAGTACTATTTATACAACATGGAAATATTCTTTTTGTTGCAATAGAAAAAATACTTTTTACTATATCGTTTTGTTGAATTAAAAAAAAATATTTTTTACTACATCATTTTGTTGAACTGAAAGTTTTTAATATCATGAAAAGAAAGTGGAGTATTTATTTTGTTAAAATGAAAAACAATTTTTTATCGAAAATACTTATTTGTTGAAATAAAAAAAGAAAAAATTATATCTATAAAGTGTGCTCTCTCGTTTCTACTCTCTACTACGCCGCTCTACTAACTACCAAGTCATTCATCATCAGCTCTCTGTTTTTACCAACTTCTCCATTGTTGCCAGTAAGCTTTTACCAGCGACTTTTCCCCTTTTTCTATTTTATTGTGTCGCCTGTTGTATTTAATTCTACTTCATTCATATTTCTAGTTTCTTCGTGAGATTGTGCTATGTTTAAGAATTAGCATGTGTAATTCTAACCTCAAGGGGGTCTTTATGTAGTTGTTAGAACTTGTTCTCAATCTATTAACATGGTTGTGAGTTCACTTTGTAGTTTACCCATTTGCCGATGTGGCGTCAAGGTCAGAATCTTCTGCGGCGAGCCTCACCGAGATTAATTGTTCTCCCTCATTCATCAAACTCTAGCTTCGGAATCAGACAAATTATTACCGGTTCATCTTCATCATCGAGCCCAAGTGTGTCGATATGGAGGCGCAAGAAAGAAATGGGTAAAGAAGGTTTAATGGTTGCCAAGGAGCTTAAGCGCTTGCAATCGAACCCAATCCGGTTTGAGCGGTTCATTAAGTCCCACGTTTCTCGCCTTCTCAAATCTGACCTCGTCGCTGTTCTTGCTGAGTTCCAGAGACAAGATCTTGTTTATCTCTCCATGAGGGTAAAGATTTTTTTTTTTTTTTTGCTATCAATGTTTCGAAAATTTGTTACTACTTTTTTTGTCATAAACTTACTTTTTTGTTGATATACCAGAAACGGAAGGAAAAAAAACAAGAGAGTGGGAACGATAAATATTTAGTTGTGTGCAATTCCTCAGGACATATCCTTTGGAAATTCCGGGAACTGGAGAAGGATATGGTTTATTGTTTTTTGTTTTCATTTAGAAAAAAAACTGTTTTTTGTTTTCTTCACCCCCCTCCCCAAACACACTTTTTGTGGGTTTAACTTTAGGGTCACTGTGTACTGATAAAATTGTAGATTATGTTGGTTGAATGTGGAAATTTATGTATGGAAAATTGTTAAGCTCAAGTCCTGTTAGTGTCTTGCTTTATTCAAAAGTAACTCTTATAATATCTACTTGTTGCTGTACTATCATACTTCTTTGACAAAATTTAACATTATGTTCAGCGATGTTGAGCACAAGTGTGATGATTCCTTCTAGGAACATCTTCAATTTGACTTTTATTGTTAACTCATCGTAATTAAAAGAAATGTGATGTGGATATGCAAAGTTTAAAATTGTGTAGTTGTGCATTATTCATGTTTCGTCTCACGTTTATTTCCTATTGGTCGCTTTAAGTGGTAATTCTAGAGTAGAGCAGAGAAACAGTTGCCTTTATGAGGAGATTGAAGATATCCACTTTTGTTGATCATTTATGGAATGCTTATACTGTTGGCCGTTACACTTAATTTTGCAGTTGTACGAGGTTGTCCGCAAAGAAATATGGTATCGGCCAGACATGTTCTTTTACAGGGATATGCTTTTCATGCTTGCAAGAAACAAAAGCGTAGATGAAGCAAAGAAGGTATGGGATGATTTGAAGAAAGAAGGAGTGCTTTTCGATCAGCATACATTTGGTGATCTTGTTAGGGCTTTTCTAGATGGTGGATTACCTTCAGAGGCAATGCACATATATGATGAAATGAGGCGCTCTCCTGATCCTCCTATGTCTTTACCTTATCGTGTTATACTGAAAGGGTTACTAATTTACCCAGAACTGAGAGAAAAAGTGAAGGATGATTTTCTGGAACTGTTCCCAGATATTGTAGTTTATGATCCACCTGAAGATTTATTTGATGAAGAAGAATGGAGAAAGGAGAGCGAGGATGATTAGAGTATGTTGTTGACTTGAATTTTCTCAATGGCATTTAGAATATCTGCTGTACAAGAAGATAGTGGAATAGTAAATGTGGAGTGCTTTGGCGGCTGGTTGAGCAATCCTTTATGCTGCTGAACAGATGAGTGCTTCTGGTTTTGAGTTTGAAATGTGATCCAGGAAAGCCGTGCAAATTTAAAAGTTTATGCGCAGGTATGAAGCTTACCTATAAATATCTAAATTGAAGTTGGTCGAACGCTAGCTTCTAATGAAGTGGATATATCATTTTCTGCAATTTGTGTTTTAAGATAAGCTGCCAATTTCTCCTAATTACGTTTCACTCTGATCAAAAGGTAATGAAAGCCTGCAGTTATTGAGGCTCACCATCTCATTTAGATTCTTATGAGATGGTGAATGTCAGCATAAATGCTCCTCCAATAAATTAATATTTGGTCAGTCATCCAAATTATTGGTTATGGTATCCTGATTCTTCAGAGCAATCCGGTTTCTGCGGTACCATTCTTGAACTCTAGCCTCATGTGATTGAGTTTTGATCTTCACATGATTGAAGTATCAAGCTATGTGGTCATTATATAGCATTTGGTCTCGTCATAGGGTTCGATATCTTCAGGCATACATTTCTTGCTGTCATCTCTTCAGGGCCTTTTGCTATATCCTCTGTCAAAGTACTAACTAAAAAGTGCTGATTCTGTGAGATTTTGGTTTTGGAGTTCTAAATGTGACAATGGTATATTTGTTGCTGTGGAGTTGTTTCCAAGATAATGGCTCAGCCTACAAGTACCAGAAAGAAAAATGTAGAACCTAATTCATTTTGAGCGTTTGGGCCGTTTGGCTGTTCCAGATTCATGGTTCCAGCTTCAATTACTGTTTGTTGTTTCAGAACAAGCCAGAGATATGATGTTTTCTGATTCACTCGAGCATATTGACAAAACCAAATTTTGTTGGAAAAATAACACTGTATAGCCGTTGTAAAAATAATAACCGAAAAAATGTTTAAACTTTGTATATTTTTTGTATATATATATATTGTACGTTATATATAAATTTTATACACTTTTACGACTACCAAATGTAAATAGTTTTTGGCGCGGACTAAAAGTGATAATACCTCCAATTTCCTTATGTGTTCGGGGTGGAGACTGTTAGGCCGGATGGTCTAGAACTTTGAGATATGTGCCATTACCTTCGAATAATTGTATCATATTTGCTATACTTGGTTGGGATGAAGAAAGTGGAACTAATCTATCAAACATATGGATGATAATGGGGCGGGTGCGGATGCGGGGAGGGTTTGGCAAAACCCACAAAAATTTCAACCCGCCCCGTTTCGCATAGTTATTTTTTCAATTTTCAACTCGCCCTGCCCCACTTATTTTTTTTTCTTTATTTTTTTCTAAAACAAACTAGTTTGACATTTTATTATTTTATAAAATGAAGAGTTTAATAGTATCACATAAACATAAAACTGAGAGAGTATTACTAATACGATATCTTCCAAAATAAATGGAAGATATTTAACTGATCCTTAATTTAAATGGAAGATATTTAACTTAAAAGTTGTTAGTTGTACTATAACTGTATAACATTTAACTGATCCTTCAGTTGGTCGTATAAGAAGTTCTCGCAACAATTACAAGTTTTAAGAACAACTTATTTGTGAAAGTTAACAGAAAAAGTAAAAGTAAGAAAGGACTACCGATGCGTATTTCAATGATCCATGATGTTATAGTCAAAATAGAGAAAGATAAAGCCAAATAATCTCAAATATTCTGAATAAGTATATGCACGTAATCGGAGAATAATATTTCCTGAGAAATAACTTTGGGAAATGAAGATACTACCACTGAGAAAACAAATTTCCATTGATCAGTTTATCAATGTGACCATAATATAAATAGCTCTATTTATATTACAGTTTCATCGAAATGAGACGGTAAATCCACAGTCAGAGTCACTCACAAAGAGAAAGCATGGAAAACAAACACTTGAAGAGTTTATCGCAAATGGGTTACTATCATTTCCTATTACTAATACGATATTTTGACTTATGTAATATCATTTTGGTGAGACTTATTGATAATAGGTGAATTTAACTATAATCACACATTAAATAATCACCTTCTTGTGTAGTTTTAATGCTAAAAGTGATAACAAAATGCTTTTATTAGTGATTTTCATGATTTGCAGGTGATATATGTATAAGGAAGGCTAAGGAGCAGTTTTGGCGTCAAAATTGATGAAAAAGAGGCCAACTGTGAAATTTCCCAAGTGAACCATGCAAAACAGGCCGAAGATTCAGAGCACTGGGTCCACCGCGGTTCCACCGCGACCGCGGCAGAACCGTGGTGGAAAGCAGCTGCAGAACTTCAGTGATTCCGCGAGGGTGTTTGGCCGCGGTTCTACCGCGACCGCGGCAGAACTGCGGCAGGCGCGAAAACTTCAGGGGTCAAAGTGTCAAATACGGGTTTTAGACCTAAACCCTATTTAAAACATTAGACTTCGCCCAAGAGAGGCATGTATTGATTTTTAAGGTTTCTTAGCAAGGAAAACCATTGTGAGAGAATACTCCAACCATCTTTCTTCTTTTCTTTTGATTTTTATGATGAATTCAATCTTAGTTTATTTTCCCATAGCCATGAGTAGCTAAATTCCTTGTCTAAGGTTTTGATGGAACCTATTGGGTGATGAACTTCTTGTTTATGTGAATACAAATTGCTAGTTCAATCTCTATTTGTTCAACTTCGTGTTTGTTGTAGTTAATTGACAGGATCCTCAATTATCTGTGCCTATTTAGTGTGCATAACTTGGAAAGGAGTGCATATTTAGGGTATTGTTGAACAACACCACTCCTAGATTATTAGAGGAATCTATAATTGCGGGTTTAAAGGCGGGATTAGGGATAACGAAACCTTGGGTGTAATCTAAAGTGAATCATGCTAAATAAAGTAAGCTAGTGTATCTCGGGAGAGTGCAATAGTAAATTACTGTGTTTACTCGGGAGAGATTTGCGGTAAGATTAGCGTTCATTATTGATAGAGATGTGTGGGTAAATTTGTATGAGCATAACAGAAGGGATTCCATCAATAGGGGAAATCATTGCCTTAGCATTTTTCTCATAATTGTTTACAACCTTATTAGTTTAGTTTACAGCTATTTAGTTACTTGCAAGCTAGTTGTTAAAGAACACTCAACTGAGATTTGAATATTTGAGAAGCTGGTTCTGAAGAATTAGTGGATCTGAAGATAGTGGTTGATAGGTTAACTCTCTGTGGATTCGACCTTGGGCGTAATACTCGGGTTATATTTGCAGCGTCCGCAGAGTCCTTTTTCTAAGGCATAGTTGGGCGTGATCATGCGACAATAGAGGGTTTAGGATCTCCAGACTTAAACAGTGCTACTTGCATGATTTTCTTTTTGCCTTTTTCTAAATTTTGTTTTTAGATTTTCGCCGTCGCTGCTATCCATCTATCTATTCTTTCGGCTAATTCCTTGGCTTATTTACCTCTCACAAATTTGATTGTAAGTTCACAAAATTTTTGTACTTTGAAGATAATTAGAGTTTAATTGATTTTGACCTTTTCTGCACTTCATTTTCTCTATTGTCTTAGATTTTCTTTCGTAGTTGGAAATAGTATAGTGATATGGTAATTATTCATGATAGTACTACAACTTAATTAGGATGTGTGTATGATAGGACCAACATCATCAGAATTTACGACAGTTAATTCAAAGGTCATGTGTGGTCTCTTTTTCCTTTTCCAAACTCTGATAATTAAGATAGTGCCCTACATGAAAGTGCCACCCAATTGTTTGTTAAGAGTATCGACCATTTTTAAAAAGAAAGTCATCCAACCTTCAAATTATGTTTATATGAACAAGACAAAACAATAGATTTGTCTCCACTTATTCCATTTTCCAATTGAATTTTTTTTGTTACTCCTTCAGATGAACATTTTTTCTTATGTATGCACACTGCTGCATATAATTTTGCAATTCATCTATCAACCTTCATACATATCAATCTGTTCGGGTTTTCTAGAAATTATTGTGTTTCTTCTTTCATTACTGGTTTAAGTAGTGTCACAACTCAAAATTCACTAAGGGTCGTGATGGTGCCGGATACCATTGTCAGGCAAGCCAACACTAAATAACTAGTAACTTCTCGTTTTAGATATTTCTGATTTCACTTCTTTTATACATTAAACAACAAAGACTAAATTCCACTGAATAAATAATGATATCTTTAACAATTTCAAAATACTGATTAATCCCATAGACATCCCAGAACCCGGTGTCACAAGTGCACGAGCAATTACTAAGGAATCGAATAAAATGCAATAACTGTCCGGAATACAAATTGGACATAAAGTAAATACAATATGCTGAAAGAGACTATACTGGCTGCGGGTCACCTCGAGAAATGCAGCTCGCCTAGTCCCAGTATCATCCATGCTGCTACGCCTTGTAAGCCACTAGAATTACATGTGCCTGTGCAACAAAAATGCACAGCAAGTATAGCATGAGTACGAAAACAACGTGTACTCAGTAAGTATCTCGTCTAATCTCGAAGAAGTAGAGACGAGAGGTCGACTTCGACACTTACTAGTGGTCCAGTAATGATACGTCAATAATATAATTAATCGAGGATTTTTATAAACATGATTGTAATTCAATAGAATGAAGCAAGTAAATAATTCTTTCTTTTATAGGAAAGTCCCAAATTCCTTTTCATCATTAATACATATATTCTTAAGACGGGAAGAAACAATATCAACTTCAATAAATTTCAAGACAAGCAATACGAGCATGCGCGAATCATGTCGAGGTCGTACGGCCCGATCCAACAATATTTAAATTGTGCACTGCCAGAGGGTCGAATGGCGCGAACCATAGATGCATCAATTACCCCGCTCGCGAATCATACATGCGACGCGGTCATATAAATAAACACAACAAACAGTCAATCAAGAGTCCATCAGGGAGCAATTATTCAAGGAAAAACAATTTCTCTTTTAAAAATCAAGAAGCGATGTCCAGTCAATCATTATACACGTTCAATATGTTTTAAGCATTTTAAATTAACAACAATATTTCAAATATTGCAAGTAAAGCATGTTATTGGGTCCTAGACTACCCGGACTTAGGCATAATAGTAGCTACGCACGGACTCTCGTCACCTCGTGCGTACGTAGCCCCCACAATTGACAGCATATATTCAATTAATTTACCTATGGGGACAATTCCCTCTTACAAGGTTAGAAAGGAGACTCACCTTGCTCCGAAGTTCCGTAACCGGCATTCCACGCCCTTCCAAAGGCTCAAATTGATGCATAACGCTCCAAAACTAGCAAATAATTATGCAAATCCATTAATATATGATCAACTACTCATTATAATCCAATTTATAGCAATTCCTAACCTCGATCGAGAAGTTGACAGAAACGCCCTCGGGCCCACGTGCCCAAATTCCGAAATATTTCGAAGATAAAGTTTACCCATAACCTAACGAACTCAAATATATAATTTACTCTCAATTTCATGTCCAAAATCGTGGTCAATATCTAAAAATACTAATTTTCTAGGTTTTCCTTCAAACCCCAAGTTTCTACCAATTTCCATACTTTAATCCGCAATAAAACCATGTATTAACTTACAAGAGGTGGGATTAACTTACCTCATGATTGATGATGATATCCCTCTCTTCAAAGGCTCCAAAATCGCCCATCCAAAGTGAAAATATGTGAAAAATAAGCCAAGACTCGTTCTTTAAAGAGCACACTGCCCAGCGATTCTCGCACCTGCGGTCGCTTGAGCGCTTCTACGGACCCGCAGGTGCGCCATATG